TAAAGTGCTTGGTACATAAGAAGTACTCTATAAATGTTAGCTGTAGTAATTTTTATGCTTATGTTTCTTTAGAATTATTTTTAGTTGCTAATTTTCTCTCACAATATAGATTTATTCATTTTAATTCTTTCTTCTGGTTTTGTGGGAATTTTTATGTTTATCATTTGATAAATCTGCTCCTTATTGTCTATATATTCTTTGACAAGTCATTTAACCTTTTTCAGTGTCATTTGCCATTCTTCAAAAATAAAGGGACTAAACTAAATGAAGGAATATTATTCATTTTTAGTTCCTACCTCATTTATATTAAGTAATCTTAACTGAGTACTTACTGTTTCAAGGCAATCCTATCATACTTTCCTAGTTGACTCAATTTCCCACTCACTGCAGTGGTATTCCTAAATCATCCCACTTCAAGCATCCCATAGCTCCCCTCCCTCATCTCTTTCAGATGAGAACTTTCCTCATTTGTTTAACAAAAAAGAGACCATTATCCAAGAGCTTTTCTGACCTTCTGTTCTTAATATCAATGTGTTCAGATGCCTTCCATTTTTCTCTCCTCCTTTATTCATCTCACATTAAGAGGCAGTCCTTGTTCTTGTGAAAGCAAGCATCACTATATTCCCAAGTGGTCCTGTTTTATCCTACCTTCTCCAGTAGATTATTCTCTCTTTCAACCTTACTCACTCACTTATGTTCAATCTCTCCTTACATTCTGACTGCTTCTTCTAAAATATGGCCTAATATTCCATAAGAAAATAATCCCAAAAAACATCAACAAAACAACGCCCACAATAACAAAATCTCACTTCATCCATTCCGTCCTGGTAGGTATCATTCCTTTCCTCTCCTCCTGTTTTTGCTCACCTCTATGATAAGACTGTCTATAGTAAGTCCCTTTTCTTCTTTCTCTTTTCTTAACTCTTTATACTTTGGCTTCTAATCTTATCGTTCATCTGAATCTGCTCTCCCCAAAGTCGCTAACAATCTCTTAATTAACATACGGAATGAACTTTTCTCAATCCTTATCGATACCTCTGCAAACTTTGACGCTGTAGATGATCCTCGCCTTGAAATTCTTTGTTTTCATAAATTCCTTCCCTCCTGCTACTCCTCCTACATACCCTCTCCTTTGCTGAATCTTCACTCAGGCCAAGCCTGCTAAACATTGGTATCCCACAGGCCTCTCTCTTGGACTCTCTTCTCTTCTCTTCTCCCATCTAATTTGTCACTTGGTGATCTTATCAGCTTTTATAGATTGTATACTACCTCTGTGCTGATGATTCACAAAGCTATGCATCCAGCCCTTTCTTCTCTGATGACTTCTCATCTCATGTCTTTACTTGCCTATTGGATATTTTGACATGGGTGTCATATTGACCTCTTAAATTTAATATGTCCAAAACTGAACCAACTATGTTTCCCTAGAACCCCTCTCTTCCTAAGTTCCCTATTATTTTTCAGGGTGTTAATATATTTGTAGCCACCCAGGACCACAAACTAGGTTTCATCTTTTATAGCTATACTCCCACATGCACATACCCATATCCAAACTTTGTCAAGATCAGTCAATTTTACCATTATAGCAACTGTCCTATGCAATCTCTTCATTCCCCTAATACTGCCACTCACTACCCTGCTTAGGACCTCATCAGCTTAAACAATGACAATAACTTGCTCATTGTTCTCCCACCCCAATGTCTTTCTCCATTTTAGTTCATCTTCCACTCAGTAAAGTTAGCTTCCTAAAGCACAGATCTGACTGTATCTCTCTCTTACACAATAGAATCCAGTGTTTCCCTATCACCTCCAAGATTAGATATGAAATTATTTCAGTCATTCCAAGTCCATCGTAATCTCTCCTTCCTATCTTTCCGGTTTTCTTGAACCTTGCAGACTCCCCCACCCCTTACAGGGGTGATTCTGTGGCGTTGGCTTCCTTACTCTTTCTCAAACAAGACATTCAGTCTCCAGACTCTGGGCAATTTTATTTTCTACCTCCCATTCCTGGAAGTATTTCTTCTCACTTCTGCCTTCTCCTTTCACACATTCCATCAAATTCCCAATAAAATCCCACCATCTGTTGGGAATTTACAGAAATTACCTAATGCCTTTCCTGATCCCCCTTACTGTTGGTATCTTCTCTTTATTGTCTTCCATCTAGCCAATAGGGAGCATTTTTGGGCATAGTTGTTTGCATCTCCCCATCACATTGTGAGTTAATTGAGCACAAGGACCATCTTTTACCTTTCTTTGCATCCCCAGCTCTTAGCATAGTGTCTGCCACATAATAAGTGCTAAACAAATGTCTATTTAATGACTGACTAAATGTCCTTTAAGGACCATTCCACCTCTAAACCTATGATATAAATTTATCCTTGGTAACTCATGTAAAATCTCCAATCATTTTTCATGCTGTTTTTATTGCTAATATATATTTTGAGTACTGCAATGCAAGATGACAACATGTGCCATGATGTGATGTTTCCTGTCCATGGATACACTTTGTCATCTACTTCATTCATATCTTCATGAAGAACTTTAGACTTAGTCTTCCATCTAACTCCAATTGCCTTTTTGTCTTTTGGTTCATTTATAGCAAGCATGTCAAGAATGACACAATCCATTTCTAGTAGTAATGAATGTTTTTTCTGGTCACTGAATAAGCATCACACATTTAGAGTAACAAGATATAAGTTGATGGTTACAGGTTGTCTAAAACCGTGGTAATTGTTAATACACGTAGCCCTATTGTCCTTAACTTTCTTGTTGTCATCATAGAAACAGAATTTATTGGACAATGGTGAGGGATATTGTGTTTTTTTCTTTATTTGATTGGTTGCCAGGACCAAAGAAAATATTCATTCTGTTTCTAGGAACTTACTGAAGATTTTCAGAGTGGTTGAATATAATAGAAATTGTGTTTCACTCACAAAGACAAGGAGAATCCAGAATTACCTCTACATCAATCTGAAATGAACAACTTTAAAGCAATTACCAACAGAAAATACTAGAATGTCATACTTGTATAAGCTATGCATTTGCTCAGTGCTTTCTGAGGTAATATTTGGGAGTCATTTAGCAAATGGTGGCACTGTTTAAATACTAGTTATTGTTGTTGCACTGTTACTTTTTATTATTACTTTTCCATATCTTTTGCCTTCCTACTTCTGTCTTTAAAATAATAGAAGACAATGTGTATACTGCTGTAATTCTCATTTACATCACTTTTGATATATTCTTATATTCTTGTGCAACCCTTTTCAGAGGTAATTCTGGGGACATGTCAGTTTTGGTTCTCCTAAGGTGGTATGATCTAAGGGAGGTGTGTTTACTATTCTCCTGTACCATGCACTGGTTTGTGAGCAACCACAAGCACTCTTTTCAAGCCTGAGACTTCGACCAGACCCCCTGCTCCCCTGTGGTCACCAGCTCTGCTATGCCAGTGCTCTTCTTCATACTGGGTCTAAGACCCAGGTCTGTGATGTAGATCCAAGTATAGACAATACAACAGATTCCTGCCCCTGGTGTTAGTAAAGGGACCTCCATAAATCTTCTAACATGCAGTTTGATCCCCTTACCTTCTATGGGGTGAGAGGTCTGGAAACCCTGATGGCTGCCACTGATACAGTGATCTCGAGGCTTGCTCCTAGTTTACTGGAGCCCAGTCTATGGTGGCTGGTGCAGCCTGCACTGGACTAAGCTCCTCTCTCATACTGGTGCACCAGATCTTTCTGACCACCTTCTAAGTTGTCTTGGGCTAGAAAATTGTTTCACTCTTTGTTGTGAGCTCTGCTGCTCTAGAATTTGTTTACAGTCATTATTTAAAGGTATTTTCAGGCATTTGAAGGAAAGCTCAGGTGAGTCCCTGCCTTTGCTCCACCACCTTGGCTCTGTATCCTTATATTCTTGTATTCTTGAAAGATCTTAACTTAATTGAAGGTCAGAATTATATATTTTATTAGTATCCCAAGCACCTCAGACATTAACAGGTATATAATTTACATATAACAAATGTTTATTTATTAATTACTTGGATATTTATATTTGTGTTTTGTTATAAAATTGTTATATTATTTTATATCAATGTATAAATTTACAAAAAATACATAAAATTAATAGACTTGTTGGTTGCTTTGGGATTTAGTTAAAATTAATCATCTGATAATATATTGGGGCAGATAGGAAATTTCCTTTTTTAGAAGATATTTGGTTTGGTTAAATGGTTAAATTAGTTTTGTGATTCAAAAAATTATTTCAACTTATTGTTTGAAACATTTTTGGCCATCTTTATTGCAACAAAAATCTAATAATATGTCTTTTTCCCCATGGCCCAGCTATTAAAGTTCATCATTTTTCTAAGCTTAAGTTGCTAGATTATTATTAATAGTTATAATGCCTTACAGCTATAAAATCACTTGTCATATAATCTCATTTGATCACCACAAATATGTTGTAAAATAATTACTTTGATTCTATTTAAAAGAAGAGATTACTAAGCATGTAAAAAGTGATTGTCTTGCCCAGGGTAACATGATTTTCTGTGGTAATTTCTCATTTTTGTTTGTTTGTTATCATATTCTTATTTATCGTATTTTACAATGCATTTTGAAAATATTCTTAGACATGTAGACTTTTGGAATTGAAGCTATGAATTGATTCTTCCAGCAGCAGGGTCAAAAGCCCCAGCAGGAAAAAAGGCTCAGCATTGTAAGATGGATTTTAGGTGTCATATCTATGTTGTTTCTTAATATTTTGCTAATTTTCACATCCTGCCTACAAAGGAAAAATACAAAAAATACCAACCATTCTCAGTGGGCCCCATCCCCCCTCTAGGTGAATTATATCAAGATTCAGCCCAACACACAGGCTTTCCCAGTGTTCTCCAAATGAAGCCCAATCTTCTTAGATAACACCCTTCAGAAATTTAACAAATCTTTCATTTTCTCCTAGGATATTTCAGCACTGAGCACAATTCTTCTTCCTAAGACTTGGAGAAAATGACGCTTAGTTACCTGCTGTTGGGCATTCTCTTCTTTATTCAGACAGGAGTTGGGATTCTTGGGAATTTCTTCCTCCTGGGCCTATACACCTTCACTTTACTCAATGGCCACAAACTGAGGCCCATAGAGTACATTTTTGCCCACTTAGCCTCAGCCAACTCAAAAGTGCTGCTTTCCAAGGGAATCCCTCAGATGATTGTCTGTTTGGGCTTCAAAAATTTTTTGGATCCCATTGGGTGTAAATTTATTGTTTATCTTTATGCTGTGGCCCGGAGTGTTTCTCTCAGCATGACCTGCCTCTTGAGTGGTTTTCAGGTCATCACCATCAGTCCCAGTAACTCCTGGTGGGCAGAACTTAAAATCCAAGCCCCAAAGTGCATTTTGCCCTCCTGTTTTCTCTGTTGGTGCTTCTATCTGCTGATAAATTGCACTTTGCTTGGGACTATGCATAACTCAAGGTATCGAACTAATAATACAAAGATATGGCAGCTGGGATATTGCTCAATTTTAACTCCTGCCTCTTTTAATGCTGCACTTTTTGCAATCATTTTTTCTATGCCCGATGTGTTGTGTATGGGATTCATGATCTGTTCCAGTGCCTACTTAGTGCTTCTCCTGCACAGACACCATCAGCAAGTCCAACATATTCACAGCCCTCATCTCTCTCCCAGAATTTTTCCTGAGAAAAGAGCCACCCAGGCAATCCTCCTACTAGTGATCACCTATGTCTCCTTTTATTCCATTAATTCTAGCTTGTCATTTTACCAATTTAAAATTAACAAACATCCGCCTTGGTTCACACCCACCTTGGATCTCCTAGCGGCATATTTCCCAGCCATCAGCCCTTTTGTGCTGATCTTCTCTGACTCCCAAGTCCTCAAATATTGGTATGCTCTGTGGCATAGGAGGCATTGCTGTCTCCTATGCCACACTGTCCACAACCATACCCATTTCCAGAATTCTTCCCTAACACTGTAGTAAACAAGTGTTTTTCCAAAGCTCATGGGACAGTGACAAGAACAGTTGAATCTAAGGATTTACAAAGGACCTCTGTGATCATGTATTCAAACTCTTTCCTCTTTTACAAGAGTGTTCTTGTTCAGATACATTTTTGATGACACTGATACAAGTGACATAGTTATTTCTTAAACTCATGTCTCCTGATTTCAAATCTACTTTTCCTTTCATTAGCCCAGTGATGTAAAACTCAAATAGAAACATAGGCCACTGAACCATACATAAGGGTCTCTGTGAGTTGCATAATGACTTTATTGTGAGATATAATATTATCTGTGTTTTAGAGGCACCTCATGGCTCAGTGGATAGAGCACTGGGCCCAGGGTGAGAAAGACCTGAGATTAATCCAGCCTCAACCACTTTCTAGCTGTGTGGCCCTGGGAAAGTCACTTAACCTTTGATTACCTGAAAAAATGGATCCCCTAGAAAAGCAAATGGAAAACATTCTAGTACCTTTGCCACAAATGCCCAAAAGGAGTCATGAATTTTATTGTATTTTTTAAATTTTGTTAAATATTTCCCAATTACATTTTCACCCACTATAAGTCACACTCATGAGTGTCATAGACCACAATGTGTACCTTTGGCAGTGACAAGAGAATTTAAATGTTGTCCAGACTACACCAGTCTCTAACCTGTGAATGGCCATCACTGAACAAAGCAGTCCAGATGCATGTGAGTCAGGAATCAAATGGCAGTTTAATTTCAGAGTGAGGAAAATGGGCTTGCAAGCAAAGTCTTCCTGAGAAGGAGGGCTTACTTGATTGTGGCAGGGGTAGGATTTTTAGTCATGAAAACCACAAAAAAAAGCAGGACCCAACACAGCCATTCTGAAGTCTTGAGTAAACAGTTCTCATGATAGGCTCACAAGTGCAGGCATTTTGGGGACAATACCGGTGTTCTTAGTTCCTGTGGGAAGAGTCTCCAAGTTCTTAGAATTGTTGAGCCTTTTGATTGTCTCAAGTCCTAAGTCTCCTTAAGCCTTGTGATCATTCAGTAGGGTATAGAACCAGAGTCAGCATGGTGGGAACAGGATGCAACACCAGCTTCAGCTCACTTAGCAGTTACAAGCACAGGAATTGTTTAGAGTATGAGGTGATGTGATTGATCACTTTCTGTTACAGCATGTAGGCTGCAGTTCCAGCTCTCAGGTCAGAATCCCCTGGGAAGTAGGGAAATCATCTGAGATCATCCAGAGGGTGAGTGCAAAGGAATATTGTTATGCCAAGCTGAGGGCACACAGCCTTCTTGCTGGGCCTCAGCTCTGGAAAACAGGGTGTTTCCTAATAGCTTGACAGCAGTATGTTTGAAACTTCTGTATTAGATCACACCTTTGCTCATGTTACTTAAGCAACATTTCTTATTTCTTCCTCCTCATCTTGAGTCCTCTAAATTGAAAAATTCTCCAAATATTTTGTGAGGAAATATGATGTGGAAAATAAGGTGAGAAGCTTGGAAATGGGAATGCTTGGGATCTAATCTAGTCTCCATCATTTAGGAGCACCATAATATTTTTAAAGTCTTGAACTTACCTGAGCCTCAGTTTTCTCATCTGCATAATTATGATAGTAATACTCCTTGTAATGTCTTTGCAAGGTTCTTTTTGAGGCCAAAATGACGTTGTACAAAAACTGAAAAATTGAAAACACTAAGTAGATATTTTTATCATTATTATTAATAATTATTAGTATAATAATTTTACTTTGCTCTCAAATATTCAATTTCTCCTGGATTCACCCTTTAGTCTGTTATAATTTCAGCCCTATACCATGGATTAGCAAGAATCATGCTATCCAGCTTCTGACAGAGAGGAAATAAAATTATATAATATTGATAGATGCTTATAGAGATTGACTTAGAAAGGTATGTAGTTCTTAATATATGCTTGAGATATATATCATATGTATATATTAAATATACATTTATGTATATATATATACTATATGAGCATGAGGGTTATTATTTTTTAATATCTATCTGTTGTGAACAGATTAAATTAATATGACCTCTGATTTCTTCTGTGTTGATATCTAATGTATTGATTCTACAATATAACTGATTTCATTCCATATTAATTTTGTAATTGGATTTGCTTGCACATTTTAAGTCCATCTCAGGAATCCAACTAAGTTAGCTTAAAGATTGCTTAGTTAAAAAAAATGCTATCTCTCATTCCAGTATCCTCTAGGATATTACATGAATATCTATTTATTTCACCCCACAAAATTAGCATCCCCAAAAGGTATGTCATCTGTCCTTTCCTGGTTTTGTGTAGTTAAGGAAGTTTTTATCTCTCCCAAGAAGACAGCCAGCCTGTTAGTTGCAAATCCTTAGCAAAGACTACAAGATATATATGGACCCCATTGAACAAGAACATTCCTTAATTATTAGAGTGGGTCATAATTAGCCTTTCCTGAATGCCATCCTACCTTAACTGAATGCTAGCCACCTCTCTCAGTATAGCCAATTGTAATATTCCTGCCCCATCTCTAAAAAGGTATTAATTTTTCCTGCATGCCTATCAAGACCGCTTCTTTGTTGTGTGTTAATGATGAGTGTCCCTTCTTTCTCTGAGAGTTGATGGCTTTGTGGAGGTTGCCAGACTGACTTAGTTAACAGTGACACACATCGGTGTTAATAAACTGATCTGGTTCAAGAGGTTGGATCTACATCTATCTCTACTGCATTGACTAGACACATTATTTTTATGTGAATCTTTATGTATTTATCTCTAACATCTAGCTACCATTTCTTTACATGGGCAATGTAGGAAATATTTTTTGCATTACTTTGAATATTTCTATGATTTTTTTTCCAATGAGGTGAAGAAAGAAAAGAATTATTTTTAATTGAAAAAAGAAATAATATTAATATAAAGAATACACAATGATATTAATATAACAATATTGCAATAAGGATTACAGGTGAAAAAAAACCATCCTCATGAAATGATCCTATTTCATTTGCACTTGAGTTCCAGTAAGGTAGCCAGAAACCATGGGACTGCTGGGGATATGATGTAAATAAATGGTTGGGAGAGGTATCACCATGGATTACACTTACTTGTTTGATACTTTACTCAGCACAATAGAATAAATGAATGAAATACTATAGAATTTTCCTACTATTGTTAAATATCATGTATCGTTTTCCTTTAAAAATTGTTTTTAACTTAGAAATTGAGTGGATAATCCTGCAAAAATGGCAAAGTGGTAGATAATCTGAACAGAGTTATTCCTTTAACTCTACACATGACATTAACAGCATCATGCTCCCTAAAATTGTGAAGTAAGGGATTTTAGGAAGAGGAGATTTAAAAAAACTCTCCACGGTAACTAGTAGAGGACAAATAACTGAAGGCCGACACACCAATATAATGATCCTGATTCTCTCACCTTCACCCAACCCTCACCACTGACCTGTGTGAGCCTTTAAAGGTTTATGATGTTTACTTCACATCTTGTTTTTTGTTTTTTTGTCTTTCAATGCACAAGGATCTAATGTTTTTCCTAAGTAAAAAAGTGGCAAAGGAGAGGTCCCAAGACTACCAGATCTTGAATAATATTAGACAGCAATAATCATTAAGACAAACTGGTACAGCTGAACAGACAGAGATATTTTTTTTCCATTGGAATGAATTAAATACACAGTATGAAGGGCCAAATACACATTGTGATGTGGTATTTGATACACACAAAGATCACAAATGTTTGGCTAAGGACTTGACTTTAAAAAAAAGATAGAAAGTTGCAAAGTGGTCTGAAAGAAATCTGGTATAGACCACTATTTCACATGAAATACTAAAATAAACAGCTTAAAGATATACAACTGAGATATAGAAAGACATGTAAGCAAATTATTGGAGCCAAGAACAAAGTATCTTTTAAATCTGTGGAATAAAGGATAAGGTTATGACTAAAGGATAAAGAGGACTTTAGCAAAGAAAAGGAACAATTTTGATTTTATAAAATTTAAAAAGGTTTTATATAAATAAAACTAATTAATTAAATCTAAGAAAAATGAGTAATGGGAGGGAGAGTCTTAGCTGAAAGGTTTTCTTTTATTTGTTTGTCTGCTTTTTGTTTTATAAAAGTCTCCCATAAAAGTAGACATAAGGAACTGATTCAAATTTACAAGATTGGGAGATATTTCCCAACAAATGGATAATATTATATGCAGATAATTTTCAAAGAATGAAATAAAAGCTGTCAACCACCATATAAAAAATACTCCAAATGCAAATAGAAGTAACATCTCACACCTGTTAAAGAGGCTAAGATGACAAAACATGAAAATAATCACCATAATAAAAGCTCACATTGAAAAGTCCTCTAAGGTTTCCAAAGCACATCACAAATATTTCATTTGCTTTTCTTTGCCACCCCCAAAAAAAATACTCTGGAAGGTAGATACTATTGTTATTTCCATTTCATAAAGAAAGAAACTGAGGCAAAGATAAGTTAAGTGACTTGCACTTGAGTCATCCTACTGTTAAGTGTCTGAAATTTGACTTGAACTCAGGATTCCCTGATGCCAGGTCCAACTCTATATCCACTGCACCACCTAACTTCCCAAGATAACAAATGTTGGAAGGGATTCAGGAAAACCAGCAGCTCAATGCACTGCTGGTAGAGCTGTGAATTGGTCCTGCAGTGCAGGAAGTATAATTTAGAACTCTTTTCCAGAAGTGACTAAACTAGTCCCATGCTTTGCCCAGCAATGACCCTAATAAACCTAAACACTAAAAATATCAGAGAAAGGAAAACATGGCAGATATTTTCCAAAATGTTTCTTGTAGTTCTTTTTGTATTGGCCCAAAACTAGACAGTTAGAGTGGTATTTTTGTATACGAATAGAATGGAATGTTATATCATAAAAATGATGAAATAGACAAATTCATAGGAAATTGTAAGGATTTTCACAAACTGATTCAAAGTGAAGTGAGCAGAGCAAGGTGGATA